CACCTACGATGACCCCGACTTCACCCGCCCGCCGCCGCTCAAGTACACGCTGCGCACCCGCAAGAAGTCCATCTTCTGGTTCTGGACCCTCATCATCCTCGACTGCGTCTTCATGCCCATCGGCCTCTACTTTGGCATGTGGTATGGCCTGACGCGCGACCAATTGTCTGCCAACGCCGTCTTCAGTATCAGTACCGCTTTGCTTGGAACCGTGTCGATTGTCGAATACTTCATCCGCTTCCACAGGTTATGGAAGAAGGGCTCCAGTTGCAGGGTCATCGGCGCGCAGAGATGGTATCTTGACTGGTTCCACTGGAACCTGTCCGTCGGCTGGTTCTTCGTCATGATTGAGCTTATTGCGTAGGTTCTCCGTCCGTCCCAACAAAGCTCAGCTAACAAAGTGCAGTGGTACATGTCCCCACGACCCGCCAATTCGCGTCCTTGCCATGCCCGCCCCGACCATGATGTTCGCCATTGGTTGCGAGCTCCTTCTCGTCGACATCCTGCGGTATATGAACGTGCCTGCACCCTGCCGTATCTCTTCGCTACCCCAGGGCGCACCGCTCCGACCCGGCATCTATGCATACATTGAAGACATTTGCGCTGTTGACGGATCTGGTGGCACTGAGTTCCGTCAGCGATTGAATCTCCGATACCAGGCCAGCAAGGGCTTCCGCATGATGCTGCACCGCTTGACACTCTTCTGGGCCATTGGCGCCATTATCTGCGCTGTAGTTGCCACTGCCATCATTTTCACTATTCAGCGCGACGCTGCCTACGTTGTATGTCCAAATCATACTTCTTCCATATTATCAAGACTAACACAGCACAGGTCGGCTGGGTTCTGCCCTTCCTCTGGGCCGGTATCTGGACCGCCATCACCATTCCCTGGGTCCAACGAGAACTGAAAAAAGAGTACGAAGAATGGACCACGGCCAACTTCAAGGCCTAGGAGACTTAGATTCCCTTTTTATTTATTCATGTCCCGCTTGTACAATATCACACATATCACTAGGTTGCAAAGACAAAGGGAGTTTCTGTACATTGGCGACGGCGTTCGCAGGATACATTGAAATTGGGTGTTGATACTTTAGATACCACTTTGCGCAGAATACCAATATCGCATTTTACACATTATTTTTCTTTGATGTGTACAGTTCTGTCAAACGTCGTTGAATCCACTTATTACTCCACACACACACACACACACTTCAACGTCTGCATACACGTTACATCAGAAAGACGCGTCAATAAGCTATTTTTGCTAATCATGTGGTGTTGACATCACGACAAAAGGACCCCCTGTTTCAAACGTTGCTGATCGTCGTACGAGTATGCGTTTTGGCGAAGCAGGTATTCCCGCTATTAAGCTTTGCCGAATGACATCGTCCAAGACCCAAGCATTTATGACGACGGTACGGTACCCACTTCCCGTGCCTCTTCTGCAGGTGGAGACTAATGCACCTGATTTATTTCCGATGTACGTCAAAAACGTAATTGGCTGTTGCACGTTATGAAGGAATTGAACGAGAAAGCCATGGTGTAGGTACATGTCATTTTATTGTTTGCATCGCCATGTTGTCAACAGATTGGGTATCAATTGCACAGCTTCCGCCACTTACTCCTCCATCATGTCCGCTCCACTCACCACGATTCGTTGTTTCGTAGCTTTTTCTCCTTTGGCCCCCAATCTGACCACTTCCACGTCCCAGCTCTCCATATCAACCAGCACAATCTTGCCCGAAGTTCTAAACTTGGGTACGCTGATGAGTAATACTTTTTGTCCCGCAGGACCCTCAATGACCTTCTTCTCAAACTTTTTTTGGCAGCCAGCAATGTACATGTGCGGACACTCTTTCAACATTAATGGGTCGTCGTCCTGGAATGGGTAGCACCACAGTGTGTCTGGAGCTGTGGGTGCTACGCAACGCCAGCGCAACATCATCTCCATGGCGTCTATCGATTTGACACGATTGACGTATTTGAGTAGGTCCTTGACTGTCTGGCCACCTGTGCCTAGCACGCGGTACCCGTCGATATCGCCTAACCAAGGGTTTGTCACTGCGTCAAAGCCGTTCAGGGTTGTATTAGTTTCTATCGGCGGTTCGGCGTAGAGGCGTGTCTTGGGGAACAGAGCGGGGTGGAGAGGCTGTTGTGGCAGAGCGACATTTGAGGGGTCCGATGCACCAGGCAGCATGGTGATGGGGAGCGAGGGAAGGATTTCGCACAGGAACTCATCGAGGCGTGTAGTAGGTGCTGCGTTATAAGACGAAGCGTCGTATCCGTAGTGTCTCGCTGCACTCTTCTTCGCAGCAAAGTCTTCTCGCGACAGAATTGGAGATCCCTTTGCGAGTGAACCACCAGCTATAACAAGTCGTGTTATCTTGGAAGACTCGGCCTGGGTTGCTGGGTCCGCAGCTTCGCCAGTCAGGTATTCCACCAGCAGGTCCAGCGAGACCTCATCATCGTCTGCGCCTGTCAGCTCAAGACCAGAGACGATGGCCAGTTTTCCAGCTCTCTCGCGCTTTGGTGCCTTCTTCTTCTCCTTTGATAGCACTACATCGTCACGTTCCCATCGTGGCGGTTGTCTCGGTAGATCTGCGCATTGGGTTGCAATGACCATGAATGTGCCGTCTGCTTCTTCGGTGCCCAGTGCCGCCAGTATGCATCCGGTGACAAAATGTTGGCGCAAAGGCTCGCCGGTAACGCGTAGACGACCGGATTCGTCTTCGAGCATCATCTCATCGGCGCCGGTGGAAGATACGTAGGTGTCGCGCTGGGGAGGGTCCGCTATCCAGTACTGTCGAGTGTTAGAGTCTATTCTTTGTGTTTGTGGGAAGAGAAGCGTACATCTTTTTCAATGTCGTTCAACACATTGGGCTTCTCTGCCATTTCCATGTATACCGTCCCCACTACCCAGCAAAGCTCGCCTTGTCGCACATCTAGCACACGCTCGACAAACGACGCCGTCTGTCCACCTAGCTTGCCCAGAGTCAGTATCATTCCGTCCTGCATAACGAGCTTTCGCATTCCAGCAGCATCCCGTTGCATACCTCAAAATCGTGCCATGCATCCTCAGCCCTTTGCTTCACCGTCTTCTTCAGTTGCTGTAGCCGTAAGAAGTACATGTCGGCGAACTGTTGTGAGTAGTGTCGCTCGGTACCCGGTGGTAGTACAAAGTCATGTAGTGGATTGTATGCCGAAGCGTCTCGAGATGGTGCTGGCGACGCATCCTCACTGTTACTGTTAGCATTTGCATCTGAGGTGCAGGTAGCAGACGTACAAAGGCTCGCCCTTGAGCAAGATGTCGTCCGATCTGGCCATTGGAGTCGTAGCGTCGCAGGGCTGGAGGAGTGACTGGTGTGCTTGTAAAGTTCCAAAGTTGCAGATCGCGGGAGTCGCGTCGCGCGTCATTCACGCCATCCTGAACTAGAAGTCTAAGAGCCCCACTCTACACACCCCGTCACCACCCAATGTCATAGCTACGAAAGGCCTTCCTTCACATATGCAAGTCAAAGCAATTGCAAAACATATTCGAAAATGCTTGTTTTCATTCAGCCACATAGGCTACTCTATCCATCTCTCGGCTCATCTCTTCGTAGACTATTGACAGTCGACCATACCCAGGTCATGCTCTCTACTATACACAAATCTAGTTCATACCTCCACACGTTTGTATCTGTACGCCAATTCTATATTGCGCCAGTGATGCTGATTATCTCATCCTGAGACCCTTGTTTCCGTAGTAACGCCGTGACCATTTGCGCCAATGTTGAATCCGAATTAATGAATAGTGATTGAAGAAGAAGTTATAGATCGAAGCGAAGCAGCGTCCTTGTTGCGTTTATAGCATCTAAAGTTTGATTAGTACATTGTTTTGGTATGATTCTAATAGTCGAGTAAACTTACGATGGCGACACCACCAGCTACGATGAGACCAAGGGCTGAGCTTCCAATGTTTGCGGCTCCACCAGTGAAGGGGAGGGTTGAGGTTGGCCTGGCTCCGGTAGGGGCAGCAGCACCGGTACCAGTGGGGTAGTAAGCACCAGAGGTGGCAGTTCCGTTAGTAGGAACGTAGGTGGCAGTAGCAGTGGCGGCGAGCGCGGCGACGATGGAGATAATGGAGAACTGCATCTTGGCTGTGGGAATGGAGAGTACTTGTTGTAGTGTGTATAGGTTAAGGTTGAACGATGTGAGGATAGACTTCGATGGTAGACTAGATGAGATGCTTGTTGAATGATACTTTGGTTGAGCGTACCCCAGCCGTGTTTATATCCTCTGCGCCTCTGGCAATAATTACATCTGCCGCCAGCGTCTTCTAGCCTTCTCCAAATCCGAATCCACAAGCCTACGTACGCCGGCCGCAAACAATCCACATGCCAGCCCTCCGTCATCCAGCCCTACAAAGCCCCTTGGACCCACCGCAACGGGCAATGAGCCAGTAGCACGAGCCAGGACGCAGGGTCACCCAGCCGACCGAGATGGCGGTAGCTGTCAGAAGGCTGGGTGTTGCGCAAGTCGGCGGGCCCGGCGTGGGACAAAAGGAGGCTGGTGAGCTATTTTTGGCTGCCCCCAGCCACACCGCGGCTCTGCGGGTTTCGCCTCTTCACTTCTCGCCACTCTCATTCGTCGCCATACGACGCTGGCCGGTAACATATCGATAAGAATACCTGTTCTCACGAGCGACTTCTATTGGCGTCATCACTAGCAACCATCGAGACCTCTCGTCAAGTTCTGAGGTTGCGGCGCCGCCGTTGCGTGGCCGCCCCGTCCCGAACGTAACGGTAGCCTTGGAACCAATTCACCAAGACGAAGATCAACTTGCCAGAGATGGTGCGTTTCACAAGAAATCGCATTGGGGTCGATCGCGCAGCTTGGTATTCACGCCTCATTGGATCACTCATGTCTTCCAGTTTCCGCTGCTCATGTCCGTTCCCTGCAACGCCGGTTGGCACTGAGGGTCGAGAAGCTTTGTCTGTTCGAAATACTACCGAAACTCAATGTCATTGGTAACTCTGAGCCTTGCATCCTGGACTACGTTGCGTGTGCAGACAGATTGGACCCCACACGAAAAGGAGAAAGCGCAGATGACAGCAATTTCCGGACTCAATCTTACGGACCTCATCTACCAGCAATGACGCAGCCTTGGAATACTCCTGTTTATGATACTGAAACTCGGAACTGCATGTATTTGCTCTATCTATTCCTTTCAGCTTCTTGCCTAATACCCTGATCGTATCGATGTTGCACCGCAATATCCCACATCGCATCCCAACCCGCACATTGGTGCGATGTTCCCCAACCGTTGAAACCGAACTCATCTGGAACAACGGAGTGCTCCAAAGATAGATCTCCTGCGCACATGACAGCCTTTGGACGTTGTATTAGCACCCTAACACTCGCTTGGTGCATGAAGAGGCGGACAATCTTACCTGGCGAAGGTAGTCAAAGCAGTGGTTCACATGCGATTCCGGCGCAAAAACATCCCTTCTTTGTATGTTGCCAACAGTCTCGTTGATGAAGCCCTCCAATATTCCGAGCCGCACACGAATCGAGTTCTTCCAGTGTCAGCGAATAGACGTTGTTGTTACTGCGCGGAACTGACCAGGCAGTGCAGCTGGTGGAACATGGACATCGAATATACTTCCGCGCCGGAGACGTTTCGATCCTTGTAGCTCACGGGTAGCTGGTACCTTTGGGGACTAGCTATAGAGATGATACCTCCGTCATCTATGAGTTCCTTGTCAGTCTTTCCACTGATGTTCATGCCATGGGAATAATACTGGGCATCAGAGCCGACCACGCGGACTCTCCTGCATCTTTGGCTGTATAGTGAAATCTTGGGTTTGGATCGAAAGTGATCATGCGGGACGGCACTAGATCCCTTTATCAGCAAAGCGTGCAATGATTTTTTCTTGCATCTTTAATGCATACCTGGAGGAAATGGCAATGAATTTGTAGCATGGTTCCCGTAGGTCGAGGGCTTCTGACCCAGCACCCAAGCAAGCGTGGCTAACGTTGCTATCCACAGAACAAGAGAAGCACCGAACAGGTTCTTGTACGAAAAGTACCTAGCGGAGTTCTGAAGCAGTGACTCAGATGGTTCTGCTTTCTCGTATGGACTCTCTATCGAGGCTTCGTCCGACAATCGAGCGTAGGCCATCACTCACCCCTTCATTGACTTCTCGTACTTTGATCAGAGTTTGCTTAACTTTGAAGCATTAACAACATGCCATCAGCCCAGGAGCCCGCTAATGTGCGTATACTAGTCTTGATCGGATATAAGCTGACACCCACTGGATGGCTTGTTTCCTCGTGAGCCGCCTTGCGCTAATGCACCTTTTAATTACGTCCATCTTAATCAGCACACCTCGCTTTTCCAGATTCCGGTATTCAGGCAGCGAAGTACCATCAGCAATGGTCACGAGCGGTTGTACCCGTCGATAGCCAAGTCTTGGGGGCGGCCCGCGCCTTCTGCGGTGCGTGGAGTTTAGGCTATATTGATGCTGACTACGGTTGCACCGCATTATGCTACTGCTAGAAACGTCAAGTCAGTTGGCCTAAGGAAGTTTCAGGCGGGGAAAGCTTCCCAGACTTCGTTTGTGGCGCTAACTAGTATCATTCAAGTCCATGATAGTTAACGACGCGCTCAAATACCGGATTTGGCCTGCGACATGTCTTCTGGCACAGCATTAAGTCCCTCAAAGATGCTGAATCTACCTGGCTTTCTTGCCCTTCATTTGCTAACCTCCAGTAGACTTTCTTAGTTTCGTCCGTTCGTAATGCTCTAACTAGAGTACGAAGAGCGGAGACTTAGCTGGGGAAGCAGGACACATAGCGAATACTCAGAAAGCTTGGATCTAGTGCTTCACCATCTATCGCTTCGGATACACGAAGTCCGAAGAGAATGTCCACCAACCAGCCTTTTGTGGCGTTGCATCGCTTAGACACTACATCTCTAGCTCGAACAATACTCTTCGGAGCATGGTACACCATTTTCTCTTTGCCCTTTAGCTGATGACTTGCCTCCAGGCGGCAGGTCTATACGTCGATCAGTGTTGTACTTCATTGTGGTAGCCTATGTAAGAAGGTAAACGTTTACAAGCTAAGCTTGGAAAACCTTGACCAGTTCCAGTATCATGCCGCAATGCATCTCCAGACGCATGGCCACGCAACCCCGGGGTCAGCGTACGGCCGATACTGTTGCTCTCTTCGATAATCCGCACCATTGGGAGGAAACTTGAGCTCACTGTCTGCAGATCCCATCGTGATCGGCTGTTGGTGCAGGCAGCCACAACCAGCTAGAGAGAATGGGCTACCATTCATCACATGGCCGACCAGTAAACAGTAGACTTTATCAGCAACACGCATAAAACTATTCCTGTTCTTGGAAAGAACACTTGATTTCAGCCTGAGGTCGATTCGCCGACGACCCGAATGCTGGTCGTGGGTATGCTGGAAGACTTGGAGTATGTCTGCAGCATCAGCAAGTGGGCCCTTCGCCGGTATCACGGTCCGTTGTGGTATGCGAAGATGTACGGACCACGAACATGTAGACCTCGAGATCTCCAGCACATATATAAATCATTCTTTGGGTAACACGTCTCTCCACCAAGCCCAGTGACCGATTCATCTTCACTTCAAACCTACCATTGTTCATACAGAAACTTTCACATCACTACCATGCAGCTCACTACTCTCGCTCTTCCTCTCGTCGCCCTCCTCTCTTTCGCCAGCGCTGCTCCCAGTGAGCTTCTTAACCGCAGTCCTGCCCCAGTGTCGAACCTCATCCAGTACCCTGCTGAGCATAGTATCGAGATGATCAAGCGCGCCCATCTAGAGGCTCGATGCAACCCTGGCTGTCCTTGCAACTGGTGCGGTATGACTATCTGCTGCCAGTGCAACTGCTAGATCTGGATATGACTCTGTAATGCAAATATGGTAAGATTGTCGTCGTTCGCTAGGAGCTTTACTTTAACTGACAAGCCATTCATAGGTCGTAAGAGCTGCTAGCGGACTCTTTTCCGGAGTACCAGAAGTCGGTCTCTGCAAGCAAGCACGCTTGCTACAGCAGAGCTAGATAGCGCGTGGGGTCTGATAATGTATCGGCCAGCCACTCGTTTGTCCATCCTTGGCAATTCAGTCAATGAAACTTCTACACCCTTCTTTACATGTCTGTATGCTTTCAGTGCCCATACTTATTCAATTCTGACAAGAAAGATGCCAAGTTTTTGTGGACATGCATTCTCTGTTGTCTTCCTCTACTTGTCAGTCTTTCCATCAAACCTGACAGTCACACGCGCCGTAAGAGGCTGAAAGAACCAGGTCGAGTTGTCAAGAACCACTTTTTCTGAGTTGTCTCTCACCAAGATAGGCTCCTACTGTCGTGACTTGAGTGATTGATGTCAAGGGTGACTGCATATCAAATTTTGACACTGGCATAGAATGTGGTTCCTTTCTATCCCAACTTAGGAAGGTGGCCGTATCAGGGGCCAAGATCACCGCGAAAGAATCGAGGACGTCAGGACTGCTCTTGCTTACTGTAGTCATTCGATTGCGTGAACGCAGAAGCCCTGACGCTACTACGGTCTTATCGAGCTGTATTGTCTGTTGGCTGTTCTACGTTCTCTGCGTGTTGTTGGTGGCTGGGATTTCTGCGACAGGGCATCTGCAGCAACACGTGATGCATGCCTTCACACACCCAAGCAGGCGTGGAGAAGACTCGATTAAGCTCAGAAATGCAATGCCTAGTGCCCGTTCATGCGCAAGCGATGACGTCCGCCATGGAATTACACGTGGTTCGGTGCGGCGCAGAAGGCCGGGAGAAGGTCGTGTGGTCCACGTCTCTTGCAGGAATCGCGCATCTGGAACTAATTCGACAGTTACATGCCCGACTTGCATAACCTTGTAAGGCGCGAAATTTGTGGGCCTCCCGAGATTTTCCAAGGTTTGCATTGCTCTACGCACGTGCATTGTGGCGTCGATTGGGCTAGCGCAATATAATCTGTACGACACGTCACTGACAGTCATCAACAGCCACCACTTCCAGCAGTTCGGACGCGTTCGATGAACAACACAACGACTGCCAGCGCAGAGCAGGAGAAGATGGAGGGTGTGCTAACCCCGCCTTGAGCCTCGTGGTGTAGATCAATTCAGGTGCGCCTTCCGCTTCAAGCGCCCAGAAGCGAATACCGAACAAGTGCCGCGTTGAAGAGTTGGCTAGCGTTCAGCGTGTCAGAGTGTTTGGAAGTACACCAAACCCATGGCCATAGCACGAGCGATTCAGGAACCGGATAGCCTGCAGAAATTTGATGTGATACGGGCTGCATTCAATGCACGAACCTGGAGATCGCAGGGCTGAGCGGTTCACGCCAGGAACACATTGATTGATATTGACACGCCCGCTCTGGGCAATCGCGTATGCCACCTCACTCATGTGGGTCCAGTTGGAGCCGTGAGCTGCCCTAATCCATCCCACGTTCCTTCGCTTAACGTTGCATTGCTGTGTATGCGACCTTTACAGCTTCAGCACATGGAGGAGCATGGTGTCTAAGATGACGCGCTTTCAGATGGCATCTATACGGTACGGAAACGGCACGGCCCTTTGTCCATCTAACCGTAAGCGGGCCGAACGCCGATGGAACTATGGGCCAATCTGCGAGACACATCTGGCACTGCATCGGCCTTGAGAAACTAGCATGGCAGCATTTCTCGTCGTCCTTCAGTGCCAGCACATCGCTTGAACCAAACTTAACAAGGTAAACATACTCAACACCAAAATTTATCCGTATCAGCTCATTGGTCTCCCCATCCCAAACTTGTGGTGCCGAAACCACGCAACAATCCGTCATAGTGTCTGAACCGGGTTCTGGCGGTCGTAATTTCTGCCTTGCCGCGTTCTGTTCTCGCTACCCCCGCAGTTGCTCGCTCAATGGTGTTTCTGCCGGCCAATTGTGGCGGAAGTAGGCCTGCCAACGCAGCATAGCATCAGCTTGATGCTTTGTTCCCAAGCACATATGTGGTACGGCGGCTGCAGGCTGAATCTTTTTGAGAACAGTCGTGTGGCAAAAGCGCTGGCCGGTTCCTACGGGATACCGAAAGTGAGGCTCTGATGGTCATGTCGGACTATAAACAGAGAAGGAAATATGCTAGAGCAAGTGTTCTTCTCAGCCCTCGCACACACAGTTGATCATCCAAATCCCCACTCACAAGGCACTACCCCACTCCAAACTTCTCGACAGCATCGCATTTTCACCGTCTCCCACGAACCCGTCTCGCAAAATGGCAGCACCGGAGAGTTACGTCCAGAAGCTTCAGCGTGCGCACACCACTGCTCTCGTAACTTCCCAGCTAAACGTCCCCAGATTACTGCGCCACGAACCAGATCGCCCAACCTCAGTTCCAGGATTACTCCGACCCACGAGGTAGGTAGCCACCCGCGCTCTACATGATGCCCCACCACTCTTATCTTTGACTGACTCTGCTGCCCAGGTATCCGGACAGCCTGGTCAAGCAGTGTCTTCATCAATGGCCGCGAATACAGAGCGCACCTCTGGCGAGACTACCGCTACCTCGAACAGTCCCGAGAAGAAGCCGCCGAGGTCGCTTGGAAGGCACTCAGTTCCGCTCCTCCTCCTACGAACGCAGCGCAGCGAACACAATTCGCCGGCACTTATACTACTTCCCGATAGATCTTCGATCCTCCCGGCATAACACACCAACAACACTCAGGGGTAACGGGCATGTTGGGCTGCGCTTTTAATCGAAGGGTGCTCCTCCTGAAACCCCCTGTTGTCTAAAACGTACTCGTCCTGTGTGCTTGTTGCGCCCTATATCGTCCGACTTACTTTTGCTGCGACCTATCTTCTTCTGGTAGCTGGTTCTATACCCTTTTCTCTTTTGTATCAGGCCTCTTCTGTTCTCCAGCACCGCCATGCCCCCAAGTTGTATACCACTCTGCACATGTAAAACTGTGCCTGGCATGGCTTTCGACCGTTCCGCTCGTTGTTCGGTACGAGAATATCGTCTCTTCTTTCGTTGGAGGGTTTTCTGCATTTTCAGTACCTGATAAGTGGGGTTTAGGGCATCTGGTAGTTGGATAGCGACATCAACCTGCCAGTCTTGCAACCTTACTTCCCATTCCCCCCTTCAGAAACGGATGTAACTACACACTATCATTTAGCAAAAGTCTCCCATAAACTCCATGTCATCATGCTGACCTCCATCACGGATATGGTCATTGCTAACTAAGACAAATTGTTCGCAAGCGACATGCGATATGCGACCCAAATAGCCACCACCTATACCAAAATTTATCAAGCGCCTTAGGACTGATGAACAAAGATAACCAACATCCACCTTGACTTTTATGACTGGCTACATCGAGAACCCTACTCTGAGCAGTCCCTTGGTTTTGTCTGCTCCCCACATTACCATTTACGTTCGAACTAAACTTGTGACAGCGGCTTGGAAGGTCGACATCAATGCAACGTACAAGGCTTACTGACGGATACTACACTAGTATAACCATTAGCAGTTCACCATCCGGACGACCCGTACCCATCGCAACCTTCCTGATCAGCCTGCCCTCTTCTAAGTCCAGCCATCATGATGTCGGTAACGGCCAACATCTCACCCCACCCATACGTCAATAGTACTAGACTTCAAATGTCATATGCCATTTTGACATTCAAGTGACCACTTCCAAAGAAGCTGGATCTCTACTTGTCACATACTCAATCGACGCACCGTAATTCGTTGTCGAGTAATCTCTTATCTTGGCGCTGAACAGGGATAAAAGCACATACTCTGCTTTGCCACACATATCATCAAGATCCGGTTCAACCATGCTCAGGTTGAGAACACAAGAAGGTGTCTCGAGAGCTTGGTTTCTGGGTTGCTTAGTGTTCGATCGATATACATGCCCAGAAGTAACCTTGAGCCAGTAATTAGTATGATATTTTTACCATTTGCTCTTCGATGTTATATCGTGCTACCTTTTCGACAGGAGCTTTTTCTTTCAGGTAGGAGAAGCCTGCTGCTTGACGTTTTACCAAGAATACGAATCACAGTCGATGAAAGAAAATATATCGAATACCAAATCACCGCTACGATTGAGTTCTGAAGTAGATTGCTTCGCTCGCAAGCTCGCTTCGCAATAATGCGCATATAGATAACTGCAGCCCCATGTGTAAGGATCATTCGGAACTCAGACGTTCCAAGCGCCAGGCCGCAACACGCGACACCTTCTCGGTCTGATCCCCTTCCGCTGCATTCATGCCGTCGGCGATCATCTTGGCAGCCCACAAATACCCTATTGGCCGACTTGCAGTTTTCTAACGGTCCGGAAACCTGAGATGTGTTGAGGCATTCCGAGGCAGAAAGTCTGGGGAGGCTGAGCTGTGGGGTGGGGATGACTGTGGGACGCTAATAGGTTCGCTTACGACGCTTTCTCTCCTCTCTCCATTCTCCCTAAACAACCTCTTACTACAAGTTGAGGAAACGCATAATGTTCTTGGGGAGTTGCGTTTCTAAACCACTGGCGTGATTATCGGCTTTTGTTCTCCATTCGTAAACGGAATTAGACACGAAACGTCGTAGCCGGCATCATGTCTATCTAGAGATTGCTCAAAACGTGCTCCACGCTGTGTCGCCTCATCGCCATAACGGATGTGGCTACTCATTGGGGGCATAAACGAGGCGCAGTAACTTTTGTCGTTTCGAGTTGGCGCCTACTTTGCCTGTGCCAAGTTCAGAATTCCCTTCCTACGGTCGACATGGACATATATAGAGTCATGTATCGGATGCTGATATACATCCTCAACATCAAGGCAGTTGAAAAATCTACATTACACCTGGCATTCAATCATACTACTTGGTGAAGACCATCAATAGTTCATCTGATATACCATATACTCCAACGAAGCAACCAGAACGTCAAGCAAGATGGCGCCAATCTTCAAGCTCTTTGCTCTTCTCAACCGTAAGGTCCTTGCACCGAATCGTGTCCGTTCTTACTAACTCCCTCGATAGTTTCACTCTATGCCGCAGCTCAGGGCACTCAGTTCATTACAGGCGAGTGTGCATCGGACGCCGAATGTGCCTCAGGCTGCTGTGGCTTCACATCAGGAAAGTGTGCGGCACCATTCGTAGCGAATGAACGTGGAGAGGGGTGTGGTTTTGGTGACGCGCAACCAAACAACAATGCTTTGAACGGCGCAAGTGGCAATGCCAGTGCCGATGCGCAACCAGATGCTGCTGCGCCTGCTGCGCCTGCTGCGCCTGCTACACCTCCTGCCAACAGTGACGCGGGAGCTGGAGCTGGAGCCGCAGCGGGGGCCGGCACACAGTTCATCACTGGTGCTTGTACATCAGACGCTGATTGCGCTTCGGCTTGTTGTGGATTCAAGAGTGGAAAATGCGCAGGTCCGGTTGTTGCTCAAGAGCGAGATGGAGGATGTGGGTTTGGGGATGCACAGCCCAACGATAACGCAGCGAAGGCATTGCAGGGACGGAGATTGGGAAGGAGAGGTGCTGCATACATGTGAAGAGGGCCTCGAATGAACGATTGCACTTTTAATCATGACTGTGTCGACTGGCTCGGCATATGTTACTCGAATGACTTTTGTATAATACCGCAGAAACACGATTTGTAGCAAAGAACTAATCTCCAATATCTATACGAAAGGGAGATCATCAACGATTATAAGTTTATTGTATTTCTGTCTTTGGAGTTCCGGCATGTTCTTTCAATGTTCTCATTCGTAGTCGTGGAGCCTGTCATTCCTACGACACTATCACTCAACATCAAAGTGTACGATTAGTTATCGAATCAGCAAATACAACGCAACCATATTTCCTCTCAACTTGATAATAGTATTACAACATTCCATAACACATACGTTTGATGTTGACCTAGTTCAACGGAGATTGATAGAGCGATGCGTAGAAATTCGCCTTTTGACTTTTAAAAGCACATTTCCAACATGATTCAGGCCCATGGACCCTCAGCCTCGATCACTGAAAAGCAACTCTTATCAAGGATGGTCCGGGAGCACGGTAATTCTACGCGAAGCCATCACCTCGAAATAGCGGCAGCCCGAAAACAAACATGGTTCACGCCATGTGTTGAGCGAATCAAGGAATAAGGAAAGGTTGGTTCAAGCTACATGGAAGGGGGTGTTGATGAGTGTTTCAGTAAATGCAAACGAATATCAGTATGGCAATCTCAGCCACCCGGCTTACACGCTGGAGAGCCGTGCTAGTCGGTAAGATGAATACGCGTATCAACGAGTAAGCCTTGGTGTCGTAGGTCTCTCCCTGTACCCTCATCCAACAAATAATTAAAGTTGCATAGTACAAAAATAGCACCTGACAGACGTTTGTCTCGCAGGTTCACGTGGTCTTGTGCAACCGATGATACCTCGATGGGGTTCAAGTTTGGTGAATATCTTTGTAGATGTCCGAGTTCACATATGTCATCTCGAAAGTCTTGCACATAAAAAGGTCTGGTAGTTCTTATCAGCGTATACACATATGCAATACATGATGAGAGACGATTTAATGTGCGTGAGGCAGCCTCATAACTGAGGCAAAGCTCGATTCTCTTCTCATATAGCATACCCAGACAGGTGTACGCGACTAACATGTCTAACGCCCATTCATACTCCGGCGCTCCAATGCATGTATAGAATGCAACCCAGTAGAAAAGCCCCCATGTGTACGCCAAACCCCCCGAGTGACATGGAAAAACTCGATGCCGTGACACACAGAAAAGGCGGCAGAGTGATATGCACAGTACCGCGAAGGAAAAACAATATAACAGATGAAAAGGGATATCGAGAAAGGATGTTGTCCGAAGCGAAATATGCCGAAGTCGTGATTGTGTGCGGTCGAAGAGACGGGTGGTGGTTCTGGTCAGAGGATTAGTAGCGGTACGATAAAGAAGAATGGTGGAAGTGACGTACGATTGCTTTGCGGCAGTAGCTACACCTCAGTGTCCGTCGCCATGGGGGATCTCCTTTGATCGGCCATCGCCAGCCCAGACACCGCCACCAACAGCTCTCGAGATGCCGACACCAAGGCCAACGGCAGCACCTATTACGAGAAGAGCGATGATGATCTTAGCCCACATTCTCTGCTTGTTGGTCAAGTTCCGGAAGAAGGCACAACCACGCTTGCGTTGGTATGACTTCCGCTTGTCCAGGACAGCCTGCCTTGTGGGCCACATTGTGCATTCCTTGACGCGGCCATCGACAGAGTGTTTGGATGGCTGCTGTGTCGAGGCTACCGAGAGGGGGACGCCGCCCTCGAGGTCGTGCTCGTGGACACCGACGCCGAGGTGTGTCTTGCTCTGAGGCGCGCTCTCGTTGAGGGAGTGGCGCGTCTCTCGGAGGGCCTCTGGGTGCTTGTAGAAGGCCGAGTATGGGTTGGAGGGGTCAGCCGCCCACTCTTTCTTGGCGGCGAGTTCGGCGCTGGCGGTGGCAGACGACATGGTAGAGTCGTTGGAGGGCGGGGAGCGGAGTGGTTGCGAAGGCGTGGTTAGTGGGCTGGGAGAGCGCAGCACGCTGGCGCCGAAAGTAACGGGCTCGTGCTTCTCGTTTGCTGCCATTGTGACGTAGGCAAAGAGTGTCTCAGGCTGGCAATGATGGGGCGTTTGGAATGCAAGACGTGAAGTGTGAGCTCGTCAGGAGGACGCGTGGGACGGCCAGAGACGGGAGACGGCAGATGCAGTGGCCGGACGTGGTGCGACTCTTTGCAGTCGGAGTGATTGCGTCACGACAGGCGCAGCATGGGAATTCAGTGGTAATATGGCGACGGTGAAGGAGTCGTTCTAATATGGCTGCAACGGGAAGGGGGGATCGCCGTCGACGAGGAAGGAGCGAACAGTGCACCAGGGGAGAGCGTGCGTCGGGTGCGTGCTATCACGGGCACGTAGAAGACAGCTGAAGAAGAAACAGACGGACGGCCTAGTATAAGGAGCGTGTGCGTGTGTACGTGTGGTCGCGGGCGGGAGGAGCAGAGATATGAAGTGAATTGTGAAGTGCTCCCTCGTCGCTGCACTGCACGCACCCCAGGCCCATGCCGTCTGGTGGACAAGGTCTGTGTGAAAGCTGAGTTCAGAGCTAGGGTCAATCGTCGGGGCCGCTAGGCCGTTCGGAGCCTTGTCCCTGCAACATCATACCGGCTTGTCGCGCTGCGTTGAGCATAGCTGCTGGCTGACGTCCCTGATCTTCGTCGCCTCCCAACCTTCCACTCACTCGCCATCGCTTGCCATTGCTCTTGCACGTCCCAGCCCAGTGTCTTGTTCCCCGTTGCTCTGCCCTCCCCTCTTCTGCCCTCATCGCCCTCGTCGCCCACGTCCCCCGCCACAGCACTAGCATTTGACGCCGCTGAAGGCCCGCTAGATTGATTACAGCGTGCCTGGCAGGTCGTCGACTTACATCACAAGGGGTTAGCAACCTCGCAGGCCTAGATCCGTGCTGCGCGACTGCAGTTTGGCTCATCTTGGCTGTTGAGTCGCTAAGCCCCCTCCGGCTAAAGCGCGCATAAAACCTCTGCTGCATCCAATCTTTGGGCCGCCCGATGCACGCGGAGCACCTGGCCGCGAGCCTTGGTCGCAGCTTGTCTGTCATGCACCAGCGCGAAGCATTCGAGAAGGCGAAACTTTTTTTCTTGTTTCGCTCCCACGCTTGGAAAACACCGCACTTGTTGGTCGTTGAGCCCGTCTATTGAAATGCATAAGCCTACCATAGAGACAGTCATCGCAGTTGTGCCTCTCGATCGATCTTTACAATCGTCGATAATGATCCAACTGTTACTCTGGACGTGTCCGAATAGCCCACTGTTATCTTGACCAGCTAGCGGCGCGTGAAACGGCTACAGCACCCACTCGAGCGGCGCAGCAAACACAAAGGTAAAGTCTATGCAATCCTCCGGAACCCATACGAAAGCAGATACGCCGGTATACGCCCACGCGACGAACGATACGATCTGGAGACGGTAGGGGAAGCCTGAGATTAGATAACGCACGAATGATGAGTTGCCGCAACGAGGGTACTGTCGCTTCAACGAGCCGCGCACGTGCGTTCCGCTCAAGCCAACACCCCGCTAATGCAAACTGCTGGCAAGCATCGCTTGTCCTACAGAGCTACTGCTCCTAGCGACTACGGTACTATGATGCTGTCAAATGCGCGATGCGCGCCATAGTAGTACCAACGCCTCCCCCCCAAGCCTGGCCACAATCATGTCATATGATCTCGCGCTTGCCGACAGCCATCTAGGCCCAGGCTGGCGCTGGATAGACTCGTGGATAGACTCTTCGATAGTTTTCTTTACAAGCCTCCAACGTTCGTCGACAAGGTTAGTTGTATTGAGCTGAAAAGCAGCCAGCTCTATGAATTATCACTTTTTTCTTTATCGCAAAAGTCCCCAATGCTGCCCGATCAGAAATGCCGCGCCGACGCCATGCCATGCGCAACTATCAAGGTGCGCGTTTGCTTGCTTCCTGCTACCCCCCCAAGAATAGCCGCATCATTAGCCTACGCTCTGGGCCGTGTACCCGCCCTCGTCCAATCAAAACTCCTTCATCCCAAACTTCTAGTTCGCTGCACCTGCGATTTCTTCTCTCTTGATGCCGGATCGGTCGCACATGCCCTTGAAAATTCCGCCTTGGTCGTAAAGATTTAGCGGCGAGTCGAGCTCTGCAATCAGCCCTGCGTCCATGACGCAAATCCTGTCATAGTTGATAACTGCCGCATGTTAGTCGCAAGTCCGCATGCAGTAGGTACATCGATTCACTTACTGGTCTTTAGTCGATGGGCAATGCACAGCAGCGTCTTGCCTTTGAACCCATCCACAATCTGTTGTTAAACGTTAGCTCGTGTGTCCTGTAGCACCGGTTGATGACGCAGTTCTTACCGTTTGCTGAATCTTGGCATCCGTCTCAAAGTCGACGGAACTAGTAGCTTCATCACAGACAATAATCTGCGAACCACGAACAAGTGCACGAGCTAGAGCCATCAACTGTCTCTGGCCTAGAGAGAAATTGAGACCCTCTTCCTCAACCACACTGTCGAGATGTATCCTGCCAGAATGGTCGTCCATGGTTTGCTCGTTGGAAACAAGATCAGCCTGGCGCAAGGCCGACCAAAGCTCTAGGTCGGAATGTTCGTGGAAAGGATCCAAGTTGGATCGGATGGTTCCCTTGAAGAGCGTCGGGTCCTGTGGGATAATGGCCAGCTTAGAGCGCAAGTCGTGAAGACCAATCTTGCCAATATCCACGCCATCAATTACAATCGAGCCACCTGATAGCTCTTGCAATCGGAACAAAGCCGACATGATGGACGATTTACCCGCTCCAGTACGACCAACAACACCAATACGCTCACCAGCGCGGACGTGCATGCTCAAGCCCTTGAGCACCAAGGGTAGCCCATCGCGGTATCGCATCTCCACGTTGTCAAAGACAATCTCGCCGTGTTCGGGCCAGGTGGGGCGTACCTCACCCATGTGCAGAGGCGCTTCTTCTTCAAGTTGACTTCCGTAG